CTGCCAGGACCGCCATCGATGCCCCGCTCACAGCTTACACCCAAAGCAGAACCATGGACCTGCCGCCGTCAGATTTACGCGAATACCCTACGCTTCCCAGGATTGAATTGCTCGTTCGAGGGTGCGCAGCTCTGAGGCCGCGGGACAGTTCTGGGTATGGCCGGTGGGGGGAAACTTGAACGACAGCGAAAGAGTTTTCAATGCCAATTCGGCACCCGCCGTGCATCTGGCGTCGACGAGGCGTACCATATGCTTCACATTCACCGGTAGCAGCTCGCGGCTGCGCGGCTGATAAAACGTTCGAGTCGAGGGAGAACTTAACTGGATTGGCCTGTGTAAGCGCCTTCCAAAATGTGGGCCCATTGCATCGGGACACTTCAAGGACTGTGATGTCGGGCTGAAGGGAGAATAACTCCTTCAGATCATCCGCCTCTTCTATCAGTGTGATGTCACACAGCTGAAGAGTCGAGAGCTGTGTGCGTGTCCGTTGAAGGCATTCCAGCAGTTCGCCACTAGAATCACTGACAAGCTGCAGTCGCCTCAATGCTGGGATTTTGAGTAGTTGGAAGAAGTCGGTGGCCGCCTCACAGGACGAAAATAGTATGCAAAGCGAGAAGAGTGCGGGAACCTCAATCAAGCATTGCTCGGCTGCATCAACCGTATACCTGTCACGATTTTCGTCCACCGCCAGAGTGCATTCAGCGAGGTATTTACAGTGGCGTAAGAGCTCGTGGGCCATGGCGCAAGGTAGAAGGAGGGAGATGTCGAAACAGTCAAGCGGCCAAAGTCGAATCCAATTTGGGCAGGATATGGCATACATGTACAGGTGCACACCACTTCCTCATGCTGAGTTATTTTTAGCCTCCTCTTTGGTGAAGTGCACTGCGAGTCCATGGTTGAAAGCAAAGGACGAAAGAGGAGAGGCCAGCTCAGACAATTTCATTATGGTTTTGTCCTCGTTTGGGCCAAATACCAGCCATCCCGTGTGTATACGGTGTACGACGGTCAGGCGCAGAGCGTGTAGGTGAGGAAAGCTTCCAGGTTGGAGCCGAACGAGCGGCTCGACAACATCAATGTCGATAAACAGATCCAACGCTGTGATGCGCGACGAGTATGGTTGAATGATGTCGGGGAGGACCACCTGCAGCGTGTGGTCCGGGTTGTCACCGAGGGAAATTTTCATAGTATGCTGTTACGCGGCGCGCGGGCAAAGAGGACAGTGATTCTAGTTGGATTCTAGCCACTATCGCGGCACACGTTTCCCGGTCGAGCTGGACCTCTATCCGATTCCAGATCGGGGTGGATAGCGCGGCCTGCCACCAGCGAGGACAGACTTGGCTGACGCTGACAGCATGGTGGGGAGTGTCCCCACGGCGAAGAACGTGTGCATCTAGGGCTCCGACCCATCCCCGTCAGCGACGGGTGGACGGGCTGTCGTGACGGGACGGGACCCGTCCGTCGCCCAAATCTGCGTCGACGGGTCGCGACGGTTCGGCTCTGTACGGCTCAAAGCGGCAAAGTAGCACATTCTCAAAATGAAAATCAATACTTCATACCTCGCTCTATCTGCGTCACTTCCCGTCCACCTCAAAATCGAAGAAAAGTTCCCGTCGTGGACGGGTGACGGACGGGAACGGCCGTTTTACCCGTCGAAAAAGACGGCCCGTTTTGGCGACGGCCGTCCCGTTAAACGGACGGGTCGGAGCCCTATGTGCATCCTCGTCGACCGCCCATAAAAAAAATCGCTTAAAAGCTCGGGTGGGACGAGCTTTCGGGCCTGTCGAAGATCTTCGTCAGTGGAAAAAAAAAAAGCAGCTTAGCCACCGCACTCAAGAGGTAGCAGATCGCTGGATCGGGCACACTGATCAACTTCCGTAATGTGTCACGTTGTCTCGCTTGCTTGGAATTTTCGCCTGCAAAAAGTGCTGTTTGAGGGAGGAAAAGGCAGGGGATGGACGCAGAAAAACATGTAGGAACCCTTCAAACTACATAGAAATGGATTCCTTGCGCCAACTGGCTGTTGGAAATTGAGCCTAGGGACGAAGGCGTAGCTCGGTGACCCTCTGCAAACGCGCAGAGGTCTCGATAGAATTCGTCGTGTACTTATACAAAAGTCGGCCGCAGTAATAAGTATCAAAAATGGTTAAACGAGACAGTAGGTAGAAATATTAATGAAGTCCAAATGAGTCCTAACGAGTATTGTGCAGCATTAAGGTGGAATTGCACTGTATACCGCAATGTGGCGGCGGCAGTGGGCCGGGTGCTGTTTCGGTTGATATTCCAACACACCCCCACAAGCGAAAGCACCTAGGTGTGCACCCCCACAAACTGGACAGGGCATTCACCAGACACCGTCATAGTCCGAGTCGGAATTGTACTCGGCAGCGGCAGCGGTCGTGGTAGACTTCTTCTTCGACTGTTCCCACTTGAGACGCTCGGGGCAATCCGGCTTGAGGTGGCCGGGCTTATCGCAGAAGTAGCAGGTCTGCACAAGGCGGCGAGCGGCGAAGGCGACATTATTAGGATCATGATTGGTGTCGGCAGGGGAAGTGGTAGTCGTGTCACCATTGGACTGCTGGCGAGTTTCATCGTTAAGCAACCGGCTGATAACGTGCTCAACAGTAAGGTCGGCGGGAGAGGGTAGCGTCGAAGTTGACAATGACGGCCTCGTAGGTGGCAGGGAGACCCATCGTGAGTGCGAGGATTCGGTCCTGGTCGGTGACCACAACCCCGGTGTACTCCATGCGAAGAACCATGGACTGGATACGTCCAATCCATGCCTCCATCATCTCGGAGTCGAGCTTCTTCGCCGTGAGGAACTGGCGGCGAAGGGCGAGACTAGTTGCAAAGCCAGCAGCGCGATGCACGCGTTCAAGAGTCTGCCAAATGACCATCGGGTCGCGGGATGTCATGTGGGAGAGCTGGCTGGGTTCAACACATAGTACAAGCTCAGCACGCGCCTCTGCCATCTTCGTTGTGTCTCGCGCAGCGAGCAACCCATTCCGCTCTGCCAATATTTCTGCCTCTGTCTTGGCAGTCCCGTCAGATTTGGTTTTGCTCACCAAAACCTGAACCACACCCCACAGCTGTTTCCGCACCAGCACGGCCTCCATACGTAGGTCCCAGTCGTTGGCGTAGTTGGTGTTCCCGAGGCGAACGAAGGAATAACGAGTGTCAGACATGGTGAAAGTAAATCAGAAGGATGATTCCGATGAATGTAAACAAGTAAAATAGAATCAGATCAGGTGCCCCGTTTGTCGTAGGGACTTGCTCCTCTCGTTAGAGGGTCGAATTGCGCTGTTGTCGCAGCGACTTGCTCCTTCACAGTCGTCGATGAAGGGTACCGATGCGCCGTTTGTCGTGGCGACTTGCTCCTCTTGGTGTCGATACCAAAGAGGGTCGAGATGCCTCCACACGTCGTGGAGGACTTGTAAGAACCGAGAGGCCGTACGTCAACGACGTCCCGATAATGGCAGCGAGGGTAGAGGGTACGAGGTTTTGCGCGTTTGTGTTGGAAATTGAGCCTAGGGACGAAGGCGTAGCTCGGTGACCCTCTGCAAACGCGCAGAGGTCTCGATAGAATTCGTCGTGTACTTATACAAAAGTCGGCCGCAGTAATAAGTATCAAAAATGGTTAAACGAGACAGTAGGTAGAAATATTAATGAAGTCCAAATGAGTCCTAACGAGTATTGTGCAGCATTAAGGTGGAATTGCACTGTATACCGCAATGTGGCGGCGGCAGTGGGCCGGGTGCTGTTTCGGTTGATATTCCAACACTGGCCTTTGGACGTGCATCAAGAGGTTTGACAAATCTTGATGAATAAGATAGAATACCCAAAATCACTCTCTTGCCGCCATTTCTTTGCTGAAATTGCTGTGAGGCCTCGGAGTAGTGTACTAGATCCTGTAGAGTCAATCACACAGGCCTCGCTTGGTGAAAGGGTTGTGGTGCGCGCGATTTTGTTGAGTGGCATGTTACCAAGTTTGGGGGGGGGTACCTTACGGCAATTGATGGGTGTGCCCGATCCCACGATCTGCTACCTCTTGACCGCACTGCCACCCAACTGCCATCACAACCAGCGGATCAACACTCCGATATCAGCCGCGTGGATTCAAACTTCAGCTGCGAGTTGTCAGCGGAAAACACATTTCAATTCATGCAACCGTCTAGAACTTTGGCAACATGCAACTAAGATCCGAAATGATGAAGGAATGAAAATGGAGAGCAACGTACGAAAGCCCGAATTGGTGTAGGGGTAAAAACTTTCCATTTGAAAAATCCGAATTGGTGCAGGGGTCAAATTTAATCAACGCAAAGTCCGAATTGGTGTGGGGGTCAATATTTTAAACCGAAATCCGAATTGGTGCATGGGTCAAACTTGGTCGACGCAAAATCTGAATTGGTGTCGGGGTCAAACTTGGTCGACGCAAAATCCGAATTGGTGTCGGGGTCAATATTTTCAGCTGAAATCCGAATTGGTGTAGGGGTCAAAATTTCTACTCGGGAATGTCACACTCAACATTGCCGCTTGGCCTTGTAAACCATATAATCCATGCAGACACTGTATCCTCCGAGTGGAGCTTTGAATAAAACTGATTGCAAAATTGAAGAGTCCGCGCCACCTTCGTCGCTTCGTCAGACCGGAGAAAGTTCGTCACCCACCGTAAATTCAACAAATATGTGGTATTCTTCGTCACTTGGAGTCCCGGCTGCGAACCTTCGTCAGTTGATTTCCTCACTGTGCGAGCATTGTGTTGGAAATGGGGCGCAGAGAAGAGTTTGAAGAGGGAGAAAAGCTAATTCGTCCACTGGGCATTCAGCGACTGGAAACGAGGTGAATGGGCATCTGTAAGGCGAAAATTGATGAGAACCTAAAAAGGTAATGCATTTGATTGAGCCGCAACTGTAGGGCATGGAAGAGGGGGAGAATGGTTCTGTCTAAAAGACGGGAGCAGGGGTGAAACGCGTTTGAAGAGTCAGGGCGGAGGACAATAAAAATTCCGAATCGGGGAATCGAACCCCGGGCTGCCGCGGTGCATATTACGTAATCTGTACGTTTTACGTAAGCATGAGAGGCGGCAATGTTAACCCCTACACCAATTCGGAGTTGGAAGACCGTGAAGACAATGCTACAGGACCTAATTTGACGCCGGCACCATTTTTTTCGACAAAAAACGGATTAACCGTTGTTGAGTTGAAACAGACCACGAAAATTACGGTAAAATGCACCAAGTCGAAAGGGGCTACAGATCTCTCAAATTCCCCAGTCACTTCTTCAGACGCTCCAACGAGGAGGACTTGTGCCAGGACCAGGGTTTTGTTGGTGAAAATTCAAATGTCCACTTGTTGAAGGCAAATTCGACATTGATCGGCCAAATCCGTCAGAAATCGACTCCGTATTAATGTCGGTTCTGTAGAGCAAGTTGCATGCTGCATTTGAACCATTCGTTGTTGAACTAAAGCTTAATCCAACCGTGGGACATTCGCGGTCGATCGAGTGATGCCATCACACAATGTGTTCAAGGTCATCGTGTGAAGTTTGAACCACGGAGTTTCCCCGCCCAGTGCCTTTTGAGCGCAGCGAGGGTTAGTCCATCCAAGTGCTTCAACCAAGCATCTTCGCAATGGGACTGGTGCCTTACTGTGCCCAAATTTTGGTGCCACGAGAAGATACGCATTGACATAATGTCCTGTGTCACTTTGTGCCTTTAGTTCAACCCTGTTACGAGTTTCCTCAAGCGTTGGGAAATCCGACATACCTTGCGACGGCTTGGGACTAGTTGATAGTTGCCCCATACATTGTGACGGCTTGTGAGAACTTGAGAGCCCTGGCTGAGTGCCTTGCAACTACTTGCGAGCCCTTTCAAGGCATCAAGCTGACTCGAGCCGTTGCAACTTTTAAGTTTTTTCCCCGAAATTCAGTGTTTCGACTAAATATCTTTGAGCGCGATAAGGGCGACCGAATAAAAAACAAGCGTAGGTCTCGTTTAATAAACACGCGGAAAATTGATGCAAAAAAGCATCATTAAAAGTATTCATCTAATCTACCGAGAAAATTTTAGGAGCCGCCGGCACTAACCAGCGATCGCTGCTTTAGTAACCCCCAGCTCACCCACCAATTGTCTGCCTCATCCTCCGCGTCGTAGCCGAAAACAGTCTTGATTTCCTCCCACTCGGGAGACTCTTCCCCTCCTTCGGCGACGTCGAAAAGATTCGTGCCTGTCGCGGCCAAAGCCATCATCCCCTGGTCGCGCATTTCCTGGTCTGGGCAGTTAGGCATTGACATATAGTGTATGATGCCGCTCTCTGAGGCGAGCACCGTCTCGCAGCGCGGCTGCCGGAGCTCTTGGAACGCATAGAGGAAATCACTGATCTGGCTCTCAGTGCTTAGGTGCGAGAAGAGCTTCGCCAGTACAGCGCCATCTTCGAGCCCCATGGCATGAGACTGCGTGGAGCCGACCTAATAGAAAGAGGTAGGACAACTTCATTTGGAATGAGTGAAAGAACTGACTGGAATAGGATGGGCCGCTGATCCGACGACGACGAAACGGCCACTTCCGTCTACCCACTGATCGAGAGCAGGATGCTCGAAGATAGGATAACGACGCGGAGAAGATATCATTGGACCCAGGTTTTTCAGTCTGAGGGCGTTCAATTAGAGAAAGAAGAATCGCCAGTGTACTTGCCTGGGCTCCACCTGTTCCAAGGCGTCACGCATCCCGTCTGCCGGTGCATCCTCAAAGCCATCCCATGGACGATACAGGCAAAACGAGAATGAAGGTAAACCACCCTGCGGATCTCCATGAGTGGAATTACGAAGATGAAATCGGTGAAACGCACGATTGGATGGCTGATAACGGACTCATTATTCCCAAAGAAAGAGAACATGGTGACCTAAATGAATCATTACACGGGGCGTGCAACGAGTAAAACACGACGAACGACTTCTGGCTCGAAGAATTTCTTGGATTGGGGATCCTTCACTGCTAAGGCTTGTGGTACGAGGGCACTATAAAGGTTCATTGAATTTTGAAGAGGCAGATGAAAGTTAATCTTACGTGTACATGCACAAAGATGGGTCCGAAGCCTCTTGAATGTGTTGTTCCGCCAATAATACCGGCCGTACCAGACCTGATACACCGTCGGCGCCAATAATTACATTGGCTTTCAGGGTTTCACCGGATGCTAGAGTAACTGTGCGTTTCCCCGGATTAACCGCCACCGCAGTCGCATCGAGACGTATTGTAGTGCCTTGACCGATGGCAATGTCATACATCATTTTCCGAAGGTCTGCAAGGTGCGCAAACCTGGTGAAAGGTTGAAGAAGGAGTGAATGCATAAAGAAGAGGCTCACAAGAACTCTCCTCTCGTCTCGCGCAAGACCTGTGAAGGATTGCTCGATGACATGTGGAGAACCGAATAGAATAAAGTACCTCTTCGTCCCAATCATGTGTTCCCAGCAGAACCCCCGTTTCCACTGGAGTCGCTCAGTAATGCCGTGACCCGTCGACCTTTGAGTTAACGCTCACGACGTGAAATTTGGATCGCCTTGGACTTTGCCGCGAAACTATACACCTCTGATTGTAGGCCCCAATGATATAGGATTTTGGACAAATTGGGTGGCATACGGACCGCCCGAGAGACCTGATAGACAATCTCGGGTCAAGGGAATACGCAGTCAATGACATAGGCATACGTTGGATTCTCCAAGTTCCTTCTCTCGCTCTAGAACAACGACTCGGTGGCCAACCCTCTGCAGGGCGATGGCGCAGGCGAGTCCCGAGACGCCCGCCCCGATCACCAGAAAGTCAATGCTGAGTGTTGCCCGGGTCGATGCGTTCTCATAGTGTGGTGAGGCGTGGTGAAAGAAAACGGGGCCGTTGGCGCTCACCTGGAGGGGCATGTTAGACGAAAGACGGACAAGGGATTTGCTGCATTGCCGATAATGACGGGGGTATGTAACTTAATGTGTTCCAAGATTAGGGGCTGACGTGAGTTCGTGCATCTGGGTGAGGTATTGATCTGACGGCACAAAGCTGCACAAGGCCCATTTTTCCAAACCAACCAGATGCCAGTGCCCTCACTCACCGTTCTCGATGATTCATGGCCTGCCCCAGCGCAAACGGGAGACCGTCGAGAGCGCCCAGAATGGGATATTGGGGACTCGCGAGAGAGTGGACCCAGGTGGACCCTGAGCAGTGGACCCGAGCGGCGCGCCCGCGCAACCGCCAAACAACGGGAACAAATTTAAGCGGTAATGTAGCGCACTTAACTTACCGAACGCGAATCATTGAGAGCCGAAATAATCGCAACGATTTGGCCTTTGCTTGGGCAAGACTTGGGGGGAAAATTGTTCCAGGTCCTAGACTCCTAGGCAATGCTATCTAACTTTGAATGCAGGTCAAATGTGCTGAACGTCATCGAAGTTGCTCGCAGCGTTGAATAATGAATCGGCAAGAGACAAAGGGAAGCCCCAACAGGGTACGCGGCCCTGGAACATATGCACCAGAAGACCGAGAAGGTAGCGAGCGCGCGGAATGCCAGCGAGGCGAACGAAGTATTGCGAGGTTGGGCCTGTGGGCCGCAAATTGAGGCCTGAGACCTAGCATGGTGTTGAGATCTGTCGAAGTCGAAGTTAGAAAGCAGGTAATCCCAACAAGCACATGAGGGGCATTCAGCGGAAGGAACTTCAAGTTGTCGACGGGTGTTGGGCTGATACCTAGAATGTTAAGCGAAGCGAGTTGTGCGAAGACAGCGCACCTGCTCCAGTTTACTTTATTATTATTATAATAGCCTGTGCTCAATCGGCATCCGGGTCGGAGTTCGCCTGACGGAAAAAGGCAAGAAAAAGATGTTGGTGTCGTTTGATTCAGTGCCTTCGGTTAAATGTCGTCAACATATATGCCGTAAAATTGTGGCGTCGGGACTTGCGTGAAGGGATTAATCGCATCTCAAGATTGAGGTATGTACGGGCAAGTTGCGCGACCTGAGACTCGGGCCCAGAGTGCTGACACTGGAACCTTTAAATGCGTGGCACCAGCGACAGGGAGAAAGGTGAACAAATCGTCCGCGGGTTGCGCTGCACTGGTAGCTCTCGCGTTCGATGGGTTGGTTTCGCGGTTTCCGGGCGAATCGGAGACGAAAAAAAAATTGGAGAAGGGCCGCTTGGGGCGCGAAGTTATTATTGCATTTGGGCAAAGGCGAAGCCCTTGATGCGGCATTGACTCGAAACTCGAGCGATGAGAGGTTTCTCCTGCCAAGTCAGGGTCGGTCCTGGTTTGGGTTTCGGGGTGGCAGTGGGTGGCAACAAGCTGGCAAGTTGATGGCAAGGAAGAGAGTCACATATCAGTCACATCAGTTGCCGGCAGTGGCGACGGCGGGCTCCGTGAGACCTCCGCAACCACTAGCGTACATGGCGCACTGGTTAGCTTGGTTTAGTGGCCCACCTTTCCACCTTTCCGCGGCTTCGTCCTTGGATCTATAATCGAACACTCGTCAACCGGCCACCGTCCACGGTGTTTTCAGCAAGTTTCCTTGCGCGTGTTTTTTTGTGGGCGCTCGCTCTGCTGCTTTGGGTGCTATTTGCTATCTCCCCTGAATTACGTCTCGCGGCCGTTGATATGGGCGATTCCTGCCCACGCAGTAAACGGGGACAAGGTTGATAGGGTGTTCTCGCTAAGGGAGCAGTGGGCCCAGGTTTGTGCTCATAAAAAAGACATATATCAAGGCACCCACAACGCCTGAGTCTCTAAATCCCTCCTTCATTTTCCCCTTTACCAGTTTCTCATATCGCGCACTCGGATGTCTCAAGAGAGGGTGAGCCTGGCTTCTTTGTCGCAGTGTCGCTTGCTCAGCAGAATTTAGGGCCTGAAGATCTACTTTATTATCATCGGCGCAGGAGTCACTGGTCTTTCATGTGCCATCGCACTTAGACGAAATGGCCACAGAGTAACCGTGATCGAAAAGAATCGCAACACGACTGACCCTCAGGTGAGTTCCGCCACAGGCAAGACCGCGTTGAGAACTTAACGCGCGAAATAAGCATCGGCGTGGTATAAGAATGCCGCCCAATTTGACCAAAGTTCTCATAAACTGGGGATTGAAAG